TTCTGGAGGAATCAGAAAAGCTGGTCAGCAGCGGGCCTAGCAGGGCGAGGGGGGCGGGGAGGCAATGGCTCCTCCCCCCTCCCCAACAGATTGGGGCCAGTGGAGAAAGGAGGAGCCCCTCTATCTCCCTGGTGGTTCAGCAGGGAGCCCTCTGCTTAGTCAGGTTCATTTGTGCCCGGGGCTTGCCGAGGCTTTCGGCTGACCACCCGGTGCGGCCACCGTAGACCTAGCAATCCTGGTACTCATAGGTCATGTCAGGGAGAAGGGCCTTTATTCAGAGACGGGGCAGCCTGTTCCCTGGTTTTATAGCGGAGGAACGGCAGATACCGGCATGTATCTGGTAGAAGCCCGGCCCATCCTGGGGTACCGAGGAGCCTGGAGCAGACGCAGGGAGGCATCTGGGTGGAATGTTTACACTCCGATGTGAAAGCTGGGTCATCCCTGATAAGCCCTCCATAAAGCGGATGAGCAGTCACCCGCCCTGCCCGCCCTGCAGGGTGATCGTGAGGTCCCAGTGAGAGAGCATAGCTGAAGATGTTTCTGCACACGAGACTGCGCTGTTGTGACTGTGCTTATTTCCTTGCCAATTTCGGAGGCGTCAAAATAAAGTTTGTCTCTTGTGAATGATTATGTAATGAGTATGTCCCCTTTGCTGCAGTCAGGGCGGGGGTGTGGATGGAGCTGTGGGCTGTCGGGATGCTAGGGCATTTGGGAACATACGCCCTGTCCTCTGCAGACACACCCTAGGCTTGCGGTGGACTGGGTGGGGCTCGGCCGCTCAGGCCTGTGGACTTTATTCTGCTGAGCACACGAAGGGGACAGTTCCGTGCTCCCAGCCCTGAGGTCACAGCCAGGCTTTGCCCTTGCCATTCTCGATCTGAGGGGACTGCCAGGAGGCTCTGGCTCCTGAAGGAAGGGAGAAGTTGACCCGGGAGCCCCCCCCAGCAGGTGCTTGGGTTGGGGCAAGCCATACCTATTACTTTGCTGTTGTTCCTTGCTCTGGGCCTAGTGGGGTGGTATCTCCTGGGAGAGAGGACTAAGAGGGTGGTTCCAACCTATTGTGCTCAAAATTGTAATGATGGGCACCTTCATAAACTGCCTCCCTACCCACACCATTGCCAACCAGTGGGTTGGGACATTGGGTTTCGGGGACACTGGAATAGCTTACACTCTGGAGTGGGATCGCCTCTCCAACACTCATGAATGGTCTAACCTTGGTCTTGTGGCTTGACTCCTGTGAGCCTCAGTTTCTTCATCTGTAAAGTGGAAATAAGATCATTTTCTTTGCTGGTAAGTGTGAGAATCGTTGAGTATGAAACTTGTAGCTTAGATGAAGTACTCAAAATATGGCATCTCCCTTCCCCTGAAAAAGGCATCTCCTAGGGGAAGCCGCCAAGAGATCAATGGGCCAGGTGTCAGGGATCTGGATGTGAGTCCTGGCAGCCCACTGACTTTTACCAAGGGCCCGCATGTCATCCGCAGTCTCTTGGAATGATTTCTATGGATCCCTTTTTCATCCTTTAGGTGTCTTTTTGTTTTTAAATCCAGATGCCTCTAGAACAAGTGCAGTACTTTCATCCTATTTCCGGTGAACACCTTCTTATTAGTTAACACGTGAGCAAGCCTGATCTTAGAAATGATCTCTGACCAGAGCAGGGGGACTTCTGGAATGGTGGAGTAAGGAGTCTTGTAAATCCATTCTTCCATAAAAGCAACAAAAATATTGGCAAGATTACAAAAATCAACTTTTCCAGAACTCTAGATATTAACCGAAGGCTAACAACAATCTGAAGAGGGGTTTATCCAAGAGAAACTGCTCAATTTTGGTAAGAACAGTGGGGTTTACGGGGTTTTAACAGCCTACTGCCACCCCTCTAGCCCCAGCTCCACAGTAGTCTTTAAAACCAGCAGCCTTGCGGGCGCCTGGGTGGCTCAGTTG